ATTTTTCTCCAGGTCGAGCTGTAAATTTCCACGTGATAAGTCACTTCGTTGACCTATCATTTGTGGCCAGGTCACTTGTGAAAAATAGCTATATCGCTCAGTGGGCCTTACCTGGTAAAAGAAAAAATAGTTTAGTTTTGTTTATTTGGCAAATTTGTTGGCATTTTTATGGATTATATATACATCTGATTTTTACAATATATTTAGTATTTACTATATCCTCAATCATCGGCAACATATAAAATAACGTATTTAATGTTGTTGATAATTGAGGATGTAGTGAATACGTTTATAAAATATATTGCCAACAATCAAAACGTATGTAGCTGAATCACGTTTCTTCAACTGAAGCCAAATAAATTTGTACTGTAGTTTTGGTGACTTGGAATTCGTTATCAAAGCTTCTGCGGGTTTGTCGAGCCACGGTCCACGAAGCAATACTTGGCCAAACGCCAAGCTTGTTACATAACTCTAGATTCATTAATTGAAATTAAAGAAAAACAAAGGAAAATCTCAAAATATTAAAATTAAGTGATCATTCCAGGAGATCGAGTCAAGAAATATAAGATTAAACACAATTTGGCTCACGATTTGCTGGGCACTGTTAACAGTAAATACAAATCTAAACCGACTATTGATATTATTGCAGGCTTAAACACAATATGCAATGTACAACGTTCCAATAGGGTGTTGAGTTTCTCCAGAGCTTCACCCAGCCAGCAATTGTGATATTGTAATCTAGGGAGACTATTAGGGAGAGTGTTGTTAGTGAATGAGAAGATAGTATTTCAATACACTAACAACTCCTATATAGCATTCAAGAAACTGCTGGGGCAAGTACTGTAAGCTAGCACCTATGAAACCTGGCATGACGCACAAGAGGGTGGGTGGCCAAAACCACGCTAAGCCACCTTTTTTATCCCTAGTGCCGATGTTCACACGACGCACCAGGTGCTCATTTAAGGCTGAGTCGACCTAGGAGAGGCCCAGGACTGGCTCAAGTATTCAGCATTGTTAATGGTCATGAGTGGGTAATAAACTCGGGTCGCCGGGTTCGTCGCGCAATGCACTAACCCCCACACCACCATTCCCGCACATATAACAAAGGGTGGCTCTTTAATAAGTAAACCAAGCCGGCACCAGCCCATCCTAGAGATGGGGTTGAACGTCTTTCTTAATACCACAATTCCTCTTAACAACTGCACTAAACGAGCCAAGGAACGGAACGCGTCTGAAACGTCGCCCAAACGTGGAGATGGAGTGATGAATTCAGCTAATGTGCAGGTACTAGATGATTAAATCACGGGATTGTGAGAGGTGGTGGCGGATTTGGAGAGGGGCTTTAAAGCCTCGTTATGCTTCTTACTCCACCACCCAGTCACCTTTAACCCCATCGCGCTTACCCGATAAACAGCTACATTGCACATAAAAGTATGGATCATGCCACACTACTTTCTCTCCTCGTTTTTCAAACTGTTTACAACTCTCAAACCAAAAATATCACGGGAGAGTATTGATATTTTGTACGAAACTCTTGATGTATACCAGGTTAGGATTTTTTTTTCTAAAATAAGATGTACTTTATAATATCAATATCGTATCAAATATGTGATTAAGTAACAGCCCCTTGGTCGATCGATTGCTGGATGAAGGCCTCTCCGTGCCGTGACTATCGGAGTGATTGACCGTGCTTCCAAACGGTGAAGTGTGCAGATTACTGAAGGGGGATTCCAGGACCAGTGCGCAAAAAAACAAATCTCTCACCAGTGGCGTTATAACTCAGATCACCGAGTTTATAGCGCAGTGTGCTAATAACTGCTCTGCCACTATAACCTTTATCAAATGCACGCCGGGTGGATTCTTGGCCTATTCAATTGTGACCAATTAACTGGGTACAGTTTAAATGTACGCACCCAGATTACATTACAGATGCAATGTATGGTCCATCGCCTGGTACGCATGAGTTCGTGGGTTCGATCCCGACCATGACGCCTGCACATTGGCAGTTCGCGCATTCTCTCTCCTTGTGGTTGCGAGCATTTTTCTCCGGGCCCTCCGGTTTTGCGCTCCACATTTATAAACGTGCCGTCAGATCATTTGGCTGCCACTGTAAACGCCCACACGTGATGAGGATCCACTTCTATGAGTTACCATGCGTGGCCAAGTCGCCTCTGCAAAAGAGCTATGTAGCTCAGTGGGCTTTACCTGCCAAAAAAATAAAATGAAAACATAACACCGTACAAATAAGCCGTGTTAATCCCCGAGACACCGAATCACCTTGCTTGTCGTGTCAGTGGTAAATAATTAGTGGCACAAGCACTCCACTAGGGGGCGATGCGGGCACTCGTGACGGTGGGAAAACACTTGGGGGGGGGGCCTCGTTCGTCGCGCTTTTGCTGGTGGCTGTGCGACACCCACTGGCAGACATCGGCGGAGACGTTTCGTAACAATTCGCCAAAACCACACAACCCCTCGCCCAACGCAACCCCATTTCCCACGAGTTGATGAATTGGTGACGATTTCATTGAAGAATCAGTTATTTCCGAGCTTGTTTTTAGCAAGCCCACACGTGACGGGTTAAAATCCATCATCGTGGCAGAAAATCAGCGCAGGGCCGGACCGTCACGTGGTTTTCGAGCCACGTGACAAGCACAGAAACGCGTACAACGTGCAATCAGCCTCGTGCCATTATGCAACGGCCATAAGCAGTTCAGGAACTGTTGATGGATTTTGATGAATGCTTTTTGTTTGTATCGTCCCATTAGTACTCGGCCCATCCCGACTGTTCTGTTTCGATGGCCTTGTTTGTTCTCTCCCATATGTGTCACCTTCTCGTCATGTTCGCCTCATTCATTCTGACCACTGGCCCGAAGAAAACACGTGCAGGACATTTGTTGGAATCGAAAATAATTGATTGACGCACGCATTGCACGACGGTGGTGTATCACAAGAATCAATTTGAATTATTCATGAATCATTACATTCCCGTCGTCAGGTTTTTTTTTTTTCCTCACCAACAGAAGGAAGTTTATCCATAATGGAGGGTTTTTTTGTGTTAAATCGTGTAAATATATAAATGTGTCGTTAAACCCGCCACCACCCGACACAGCCAACTGGGTGCGTACCCTTACTAGTTGGCTGTGTCGGGTGGTGGCGGGTTTAACGACACATTTATATATTTACGCTATCTAACCCCCCCCAAAAAACCTCTATTATGGATGATATTGGTCGCGAAAGCCTACCACGTGTTAAACAAAAGGAAGTTTAGTTTGGGTTATGGGGAACCTGTGACTGGTGCAGTTGCTTCGTAGAATGAAGTCGGAAGCAATGTGTGAACCAGCAACATTTGGAGTGAGCAACATCTACACGTGGAATGTATTGAGTATGGGACCGCTTGTGGCTTATTGTGGTCACTGTGAACTAGGACACCACACGAGCGCACAATGGGCAAGACGGATTGGCATTATTGCGTTTCGTTTTGCTGTCGAACATTTACAAGCTCAGTAACAATGGAGCAGCACACACTGTGGATTAACAGTGTTAAGAAAAGAAACAACTCAAGAATCACATTCCGGTTTAGCATTCCTAAGACCCCATGCCATGTAATCCACTGACTTTTAAGGTGCTGGAAGATTTACAGGCGAAAGCGATGATTCATGAATTACCAGGTGTCTTTGCCAGAAAGTTAAATTTCCACCGACAAATTCTGGCACGTGGATATCGCTAGATTAATCTCGCAGATTCTTCATCCTTATGCAGGCAAGTGAAATAGGCACAAAACATTTTCCACCGCGGAAGATGTCCAACTCCTGATCCGAGCATTTTTTGCCAGACCAGACCTCCGATATGTGACACAAAGACACAACCCTGCATACATTTGTGCATTTTCATAAGCGGATAACTGCTGCGGCTCATAAATGTGTGTACACACTCATGGCTCTTTTTACATAAATTACTTATCATACATTGGAAGCGGTGTTCCAAGTGGTTAGTGCAACGGAATTGTATTCCTGGTCATGGTTAACATCGATGGCGAATGATACCTGAACCAGCCCTCACCAGAATGATGCAATATGCTCAAACAACCTCCATGATTGGCACGGTTTGGGGAGGCCTTGAACCAGAAGTGAATTTACTAAGGAGGTGTATATTATATTCGACACACACAAGCATATGTATCAATTTTCGCAGCTCAATAATCACACCCCTATATTACATAAACATATATTCTTGTCATCTAATGCATGTACACTTACACGCAAAAGCATATACATTCTTCAACAATGGAATTCTTTATAGAAATAGGTTTTACCCTTTTAACTGGCACAAAAACTGACACCTTTATTCAAGGCATCATGTTTGCAATAATCACAACACAAGCAGTCAAAATGAAAACAAAGAGACAACTCTGATAATAATATGCACTGTCCTTGAATTTGATTGGTCCACACCCGAGACGGCTTTTCTTAGAGCCTAGTCTCCACTGGTGTTGCACCAGAAGACGCCAAAAGGCGTACAGTTGTACAGGAGGTCTCATAATGGAATTCTTTACCTCGACTGTATAGGTTTTTCACCCGGTGTGCTGTATGGTGCTCTGAGCTTCTTCAGGACCTGACTTCAGTTCCTGAAGAAGTTTCCAACCCATGGAGTGAAATGTTGCGAAATCATGCCAGACTAAAATTACAAAAAATATTTAACCAGGTAAGGTCCACTGAGCTGTAAAGCTCTTTTTCAGAAGCGACCTGGCCACAAATGATAGCTCAATCAAAGTGGCTTATCACGTGGATATGCATTGCAACCAAATACTCTAAACGCGTGACGTTGAATCTAAATGTGGAGGGAAAAACCGGAGGACCCGGAAAAAAATCCACGCGACAACGAGGAGAGAGACACCGCAGAGTCCAAATATACAGCAGGCGTCAGGGTCAGGATCGAACCCACCACCTCCTTCTTACCAGGCGAGGCAGTTAACAAGAGGCATCAACAGAGCCATCCCTCACCTCTGGCCGGAGCGATGGGCAGCACCAGGTGACGGGAGAGCACGGGGGGACTGGACACGTCGGCCAGCTCCAGGAACCCCACAATCTCCAAGGCTTCCCGCACGATCGAGACGAAGCCGAGTGCGGGAGAGACGGCGTGCGGGGAGGGTGCGGGATGGCGGCAGCGTTAGAACGTCGTCGCGAGACTGCAACTCCACGCGCAACTACTTGCACCCGGCTGGCCGACCAGCGCCGAGAGAGAGCCCGTGCGTGGCGAGCGGGCACGGTTCCTGTGAAGAATGTCTCGCGCGCGCGCCAAGATATTGTGCCGAGCAGCAAACGGCTACGTTGAGACCGAGCGTCAGCCGGTTTATGCGTGCCGTGACCTGCGCAAGCAGGGATACATTAGTTCAATGAAGACAGATGCTTCAGTCACACCAATTAGCATGTACAGCATGGGCAACAAACTCCAAGTAGGCAATCTTGCCTTCTACAATTAGACTCCGCTTAACAATGACGAAGGAACTCCGTCAGCGTTTAGTTATATGAACTAAAGGTTGTAAATAAAAAGCGGGCGGATGGTAGGTTGTTGTCTTCAGCCATTCAATGATGATGTCACAAGCACGTCACGCACATCTAGACAAAGCAGATCTGCAAATCCATCGGGGGAAAGATTACCGTGGTTACCCATAAGAAGATCTGTACGAGTTTCCCTCGCTTTATGCAGCTGTCTCGTGTAGTTTAACTTTGTGAAACTACACGAGACAGCTGCCTGCTGAGTAGAGCGTACAGTACACACAATGTTGTCCCAAGTCCGACCTCATAGCCGCATATGGAGTTAATTTTGGGCTATTTACCTTCATGTCAAACCAAAACCAATCTACGACAATTGGAGCAGTTGATGTGACTTCTCAAATTCTGGCCCCTGGCTCTAGGTCAGAGTACCGAGGTGACACACAAAGTGCTTGCCGCACATGAAACAAAAATTCCTTGCGGATCTCGTCAAGGAGCATAAACCATCACGCAAACACCGGTTAACCTCGTACAGGTTTATGGCTAACCATCGAACAAAGACGGGTCACTGCATCACGCGCTGTCAGGAGGGCTTCTGAAGGCTGTCTGGAACGCTCTTCCTTACGATATTAGGAAGCCACTGGAGCCATGCACTTTTAAATTTAGATTGAAAACTAACTTCTTTAGTACCGCTTTTTGTGTTTAGTTGGTTGTCCTTCCCCCGCACCTCCGATTAGCACGGTTGGCTGCGTACGGTGCGAAAGAAGTTCAACGTGCACACATACGTACGAAATGGCATCCAAAATCACGGAGAGGCCCTCGACATGCACCCCACGCTGTGGCATCATCGGGGAAGGCGGAGCTGCCCACCGTGCGAATGAAGGTGAATGAGAATCCGCCAGCGTGGCCGTGGATCAGCGTTGAGGCTGCGTGGATCCCTCGCTGTGCGACCGTGCGTCGCAGTGACGGTGTGTGCAGGGTGGCCACGGTTGGCTACGTGCGGCCCAATTCGAGAGAATATTTGGACCAGGAATTCAGTGGACGGGCAGATGTGGAGCGGTTCTGATGTGATGTGGCTGAATCATTGAGGAGAATGCTTCGCACTTAAATGTTGACAAAAATTGAGGAACTCTATAAAAAGGCTGTGCAGAACTGCCTGTACTGTGACGCAGCCACCCACTTGGAAGAATCTGTCAAGGAGAGCTGGAGCACGACTCCAGCTACGTGATGGGCATGGACAGCACACGGAACTGTTCGAATAGAGGTTACATGATGTTGTATCAGGCAAAGGGACTTTGTGGCCACCCTGTACATGAGGCATTGATGACGATGATGATGTATACGAGGCAGGGGGAACAGCGTGCTGTTCTACCAGTTATTCCCCAACCACACACGCCTCATTCGTAATAGTTCACCATAGTAATGCAATGTGTCCATGAAGGTGTTGTCCATTACTAAATATGTATAATGAGACAGAAGGCTGAGGTAGTTTAATAAGATAACTGACTGTTGGGGCAAGTGCTGTTAGCGAGCATCTATAAAAGCTGGCAGGGCACACGAGGGGGTGGGTGGCCAGCACCACGCCCGGCCGCCTTTGTCTCCCTCGTGGCGATGTTTACACACCGCACTAGGTTCTCATTTGAGGCCGAGTCGGCCTAGGGGAGGCACAGGACCGGTTCAAATAATTGTCACTTCATGTTGGTGGCCGTGAGTCGGAATCGAACTGGGTAGCCGGGTTCGTAGCGCAGCGCGCTGCCCGCTACACTACAGCTCCACAAACACACGCTGTAGTATGAAGACTGTACCAGCTGCCTTCGTGAGGGAGACACACATCACATCGAGATTCTAGAGTCCCGACTGCTTGAGGGCCGTCCATAAATGACGTCACGCGATTTTGGACGATTTTTGACCCCCCCCCCCCCCCCCCCCGTCGTCACACGGCGTCACAAAAAGTCAGATCTCCCCTCAAATATAACGTCACAAAGCTCTGCCCCCCCCCCAAAAAAAATAAAACATGCTTCAAATCGCTTTAAACTATAGACATTGTAGTGCGTATTTAATGTGGCGCTGCACTCTGATGTTGTAGGAGAAAACATTTATTAAAAAGTCTATTTCATTAAGTAGAACGTGTTGTCTATATTTATTTAAAGTTTGCGCATTTTGATGTGACGTCACATTATTTCTCAAACCCCCCCCCTCGTCACACATCGTCACAAATGTCTGATCCCCCCCCCCAGGTGCGCGTGACGTCATTTATGGACGGCCCCTTGTCAGCGTCTCAGCTGCGATTGTTTTCAGTCCGTCTGTTATGTGCTTTGGAATACAACTCAGGTTTTTTTTTATTTTTTTCAAAGCTTAGAAATGTTAAAAAAGCATTAGGTTGCCAACATTTCAACGCTATCGCAAAACAATGCTGCCTTAGTTATAATTCCTTATGGAGGGATGATATCTGCATGGACACGCGCACAGCGCAAGAGAGGCAGTCATAATAACCCAGCGACGTCACTAGAGGCCGCTATGGCAATGCGCCTGAAAAAAACATTACCATGCAAGATTCTTTTTTTTTACAGAGCTTGCATGTGTATGTATGTTGAAATTAATATTCTTGGGTCTTTCGGTAAAGTGACGTAGATAGGTTCAAAGAAAATAACAAAAAATAACAAAAAAAACTATGACGATTCGATCACAACACAGGCGGTCGTCTTCAGGAAAACGCGATCTACGTCACTTTGCCGAGAGACCCAAGAATATGTTGAACTTCTTTCGCACCATACGTATGACCAACCGTGCTAATCAGAGGTGCGGGAAAGCTTCAAGCACGTGTCAGTCTAGGTGTGCATCTACAAAACAACTGATAATGAATGAGTGGAGGTGGATGAGTGACTCAGAGGTCACAGTCCCGAGGTTTCAATCTAGGCAGCTGCCCATCTTTAAACTGAGATCTAAAGTGTACTCAAGTCGATGGTCTCGGCACAGTCAACAATAAGTGCACAAATAACAATCGCGTTAAATTTAGTTGTGCACCAAATATAGCAAAAGTCTTGTTCCAAAAATTAAGCGTATTGGTTTGACTATCATGCGACACACATTAGCGAGAGAGTATTTCTCTCAAACATCTACTTTCGTCGGCCGCTCCCTAACACAACGGGTTGCACTGCTCAAGTGAAACATCCCATTGGATGATGCTAATAGCATAATATGGATACAATTTGTAAAGAAAATAAAGGAATAAAGATAACTCCTATTTTGGGGGGTGGGGAGGGATTGCATCTGACTTTAAAAGAAATGGGGTTACATACCGTGAAGTGGGAGTTAATTCACAAGCCCGGTTTAATTAGTGTCCCTTAACAATATGTTAATGCTTTCAATGGGCTATGGCCTGGTCGCATAGAGAATTCGTCTGTCCATGTATTTATTGTTAGGGAGTGGTAGTGTGATGGTTAGCGCACTGCGTGACGAACCCCGCAACCAGAGTTCCGTTCCCGCTCATGGGCGACACGGGTGATGATTAACTGAACCAATCCTGAGCCTCCCCTAGGTCCACTCAGCCTCAAATGAGTATCTGGTGCGATGTACAAACATCGCCACCAGGTGAGACGTAGGCAGCCGTGCCTGGTGCTGTCCACCCACCCCCTCATGTGCATTTCCGGCCTTCGTAGGTGCTCGCTAAGAGCACTTGCCCCCAGCAGTCTGTTGGGGCTATAACGGGGGGGGGGGGGGGGGGGGGTGGTGGTCTTTGTCGTTGTCTATGCCTATTGCACCGTACCAGAGGAGATGCACTTGGGGCGAGGATCGAACTCGTGCTCTGGGGTGACGGGCTCAGGCCGCGGGAAGAGGGTCACGTCGGACGCCAGGTGCCCGCAGCGCAGCGTGGCCGGGAAAGGTGTGTACACCTGCTGCGTGAACTTGCTGCAACGAGCGGAAGCGCACACGACGCGCCGCTGGGTTACACCCCCACGTGGGGCAGAGGCAACATCTCTGTCGAGCAGATCTCACCATGTCTGTCCGGTGTTCGCTGAGCCGCATCGCGCGCAAAGTGCCTGAACAGCAATACCCTGCTGATCTCGTCAAGGAGCAAGAAGCCGTCACGCACACTCCGGCCATCCTCGCAGCGGCGGCTTGTGGCTGCGAGCCATCGAACACGGACGGCCACTGCATCGTGCGCTCTCAGGTGCGCTACTGCGGCCCTCTGGAGCCCTCTTCCTTCCGATATTAGGAGGCCACTGGAGCTATGCACTTTAAAATCTAGATTGAAAACTCATTTTTTTTTCTCACTGCTTTTTGTCTTTAGTTTGTTGTCCTCCCCACGCACCTCCGATGGGCACGTCTGGTTATGCACGGTGTGACAGAAGTTCAACATGCATGCATACATACATCAGGATTTGGTGATACTGCTGTGTGATGGTGTACTTTTCTAGATTTTATTTTATTGGAAACTGCATAATCTTCCTTTCAAAGTGCTCCAGAAAGTGTATCTGATCTTAGTTGAAGAGGCGGTTGGTTGTGTCACAAAAACGCAAGTGACCGAGCACACTTGCCCAAGGGCCCAATGTGTTTGAAGTGGCTCGGCAATAACCAGCACGATCAAAGTGGTACTAGATAAGGGGTGACACGTTTCTTAAAATTCAGCAAGGTTCTCATGAAAACGAGACGATGGGGAGGGAATTGCAAAGTTGAGCAGAGCAAGGGAAGAATCAGAAAGCAGTGATTAAACCTGCAGCGCGGTGGCTGAACACAGAGTGAATAAGCCAAAACAGTGAGTCTGGCAGACCTAGCCATGAACATTGGTGGAGGAATCAGTGAGTGTAGTTCGCGGAAAAGGTCTAATGTATACTGATATCATTTACTGTTTGCCAGTGAAGGAGATTACAAAGATAAAGGTCCCCCTTATAGCCTTTAACAGACTGTTGGGGCAAGCGCTGTTAGCGAGCACCTGTAAAGGCCAGCTCGGCACACGAGGGGGTGGGTGGCCCAACACCACACCCGTCCGCCTTTATCTCCCTCATGGCGATGTTTACACACCGCATCAAGTACTGATTGGAGACTGAATCGACCTAGGGGAGGTGCAGGACTAGTTCAGATCACCCTCACTGGTGCTGGTTGTGAGTGGGAATTAAACCTGGGTCGTTGCGTACGTAGTGCAGTGCGCGAGTCGTTACACTACCGCTGCCCACGAGGGAGAGTACGCACACGCACATACACCATACACACCATACACACCCTACACACATACACCGTACACACCCTACACACCATACACCCCCTACACACCATACACACACATACACCATACACACCATACACACACACACACATACACCGTACACACCCTACACACCCTACACACCATACACACACATACACCATACACACCATACACACACACACATACACCGTACACACCCTACACACCATACACACCCTACACACCATACACATACACCATACACACCATACACACCATACACACACACACATACACCGTACACACCCTACACACCATACACACCCTACACACCATACACACACATACACCATACACACCATACACACACATACACCGTACACACCCTACACACCATACACACCCTACACACCATACACACACATACACCACACACACCATGCACACCATACACACACAAACACATACACCATACGCACCCTACACATCATACACACACACACATACACCATACACACACATACACCATACACACCATACACACCCTACACACCCTACACACCATGCACACCATACACACCATACACACATACACCATACACACCATACACACCCTACACACCATACACACACACACATACACCATACATACCATGCACACCATACACACCCTACACACCATACACACCATACACACACGCACATACACACCATACACACACACATACAACATAGACACCATACACACCCTACACACCATACACACACACACACACACCACACACACCCTACACACCAACAACAACCGCCATTCGCCACTAAATGGCGGTGACGTCACCACGACGCTTGTGCCAGGCCATGTGCACCTTGAGGCCACGTGAAGTGTCGAACGCCCGCTGACAGGAGGTCACGGGGCAGAACCAGGTGCCACGGGTCGACTGACTGAGATGACTGGCTGATGCACCACCTGTGCCCCCTACTGTGCCAACCTGCTGTGCTTTAGCCACCTGGCGCTCTGCTCGTTGTTGTGAGCGTCGCTCCTCCGCCCTCCATTGTTGTTGGAGGGCGACTGCCTCCAACTGCCCAGTAGCGTCCTTCACGAGCCTCCTCCACAGAGGCCGATCTTGACACCGCTGGTACCAGTCATCGGCAAGTCCACTCAGCTCTACGTCCTCCTATACCACATCACTCTATCTCTTCTCTAGCCCGTGCCGCGCCCGTTTAGCCCCCTCGATCCGGCCGAACAAAAGCTGTTTCGGCATGCGGTGGCTGGGCATGCGGGCTACATGACCCAGCCAACGCAGCCTTGCCTGCCGGAGGAGCTCACCGATGGGACCGTGCCCAGATCTTTCAAGGATTTGTGAGCTCCTCACACAATCCAGCCTGGTTAAACCCAGGATGGATCGTAGGCAGGCCAGCCTAGGCAGGCCAGCCGAAATGTTTCTAACTGGCGAAGATGTTCCATTAGGGGGGTCCACGTTTCGCAAGCGTAGAGAAGGGAGAGAATGACCGTGGGCGAGAAGACCTGAAGCTTAGTGCGGAGCGACAGACCAGGTAGCTTCCACACAGCGTTACGCAACCGATGAAAAGATATTGCCGCTCGACTGATTCAGAGTGAGACCTCTGCTGTTAAACTGGAGCCGGTCATAAGCACACTGCCCAGGTATGGGAAACTCTCCACTTTCTCCACAACTGCCCCATCACTGATTGGGAGTTGTGGGGGTGGCGTGTCCGATGGTACAAAATACCCAGGCAGGTGCTTAGTTTTGGGGGGGCTGATGGAAAGGCCCCACCTCTTAGTGGCACGCTTCAGTCTCAGCAGCAGCGTCTCCAACTCTTCCTCTGAATGAGCGGCTATTACCAAATCATCGGCATACATAACGTGGTTGACCAATAGGGAGCCATCCCTTGAACGCATCCGGGCATCGATCAGCCTCCCATTATATCTGTACCATATGGAGATTCCCCCGGTAGAGCTATTGAAGGCTTCACGAACTACGTGGTCAAAATAGATGTTACATAATGTGAGAGCCAGAGGACATCCCTGTCGCACCCCAAGGTGTACAGGGAATGGCTCTGACTCCCGGCCACGTAGTTTTACCCGGGCCCGCTCACCATCATGAAGGTCCTTAATGATCGTGAGCAGAGGGTCAGGTACTCCAAAAGCACGAAGAACAACCCAGAGCCCAGGCCTACTGATGGTATCATAGGCCTTGACCAGGTCAATAAAGCAGAGATGTAGGTCTTGCTGTAATTCCCTACACCTCTGCTGTAGCAGACGGACAGAAAATATGGCATCTGTGCAGGACCGCCCTTTCCTGAAACCGCATTGGGGCTCCGCAAGCCTCTCCTCAGCGTGCCTGGCAAGGCGATGTTGAATAATCCTTGCCAGGACCTTTCCTGGCACACTGAGGAGTGAGATGCCCCTGTAGTTTTTTACAGTCTGTGCGGTCTCCCTTCTTAAAGAGGGGGACCACCAGGGCATCCTTCCAATCAAGCGGAACCCGTCCAGTGGTCCAGACTGTTATGATGTCATTTAGGGCAGTCTGTGCACAAACGCCACCCTCCCTCAGCATTTCGCTTGGGAGATCATCTCTGCCCGCTGCCTTTCCTGGTCTCAAGACTCCGGATCGCCTTCAGTACTTCCTCAACAGATGGCACCTCAGCCAGCCACTCACAGGGGGTGACTTCTTCCAATATTTGAGGCACCGCAGCCTCAGCAGGGTCATCCTCACTTTGTGCCATGATGTTTTCCTGGCTGAGGGATTTTCCCTCCCCCAGGACCTCACAGAAATGCTCAGCAAATCTGCAAACCTGTTCCTGGGGGTCGGAGATTGGCTCACCGTTTTTTCCCCTAATTATGGTAATACGTGGCGCTGCAGGTTACTTCTTTGATGGAGTTAAATAGAGATTTGTGATCATGGGCCACTGAGGCAGACTCCATCTCCTCAGCTACCCGCGACCACCACCCACCCTTGCAGCGCCTCACGGTTCTCCGAACCTCCGAGCGAAGGCTGCGGTAAGCCTCCTCATTCTCTGACGTGGGATTCTGTAGCCGATGACAGTGGGCCTGTCGCTTTTTCTCAACCATCCTGAACACCTCTGTCAGCCAGGGTCTCTTGGGAAGTATGGACCGTGTACCCAAAGCAGCCATTGCAGCTGCATGAGTCACAGTCCTAAACCTCGCCCATTTACCCTTGACATCAGTAGGAGTGGGGGATGATGCCAACCCCAGCCGCAAGCGATGATGAAATTCTCGCTTGCAACTTTCATCAGATAACTGAGACCAGGCCACTTTAGGTTGGAATGGGGTCCTGGGTGTACACCCACCGCCGGAGTGGAAGAATGGAAGGCGCATCTTACAGATGACTAGTCGATGGTCAGAGGGCAGATCAGCTCTACGGTAGGTCCTGGTGTCAAGTACATGGGCTTGCATCCGCTGGTCCGTCACTATGTAGTCCAGCAGATGTTCTTGCTTGGACCCGGCATGCATCCATGATGTTGTGTGGATGCGCTGATGCCGGAACAGCGTGTTGGTAATTACAAGCCCATGAGCTGCACAAAAATCTAGCAGCCTCCTACCGTTGTTATTGAGCTGATCTGGCCCATGCCCTCCAATCACTCCAGACCAGGTGCCAGCATCATGACCAATTCGGGCATTGAAGTCACCCAACAAGATGACTCTATCACGAGGGGCCACTTTAGCCAGCACCTGTGACAGGAGGTCATAGAAGGCATCTGACTCATCGGCTTTGCCTGCATCCCTCCACGGATGTTCGTCTTCGGTGGGGGCATAAGTAACCACGACCACCACTCCTCGCCTCCGGTTGATTGGAAGGCGAGCCCAAAGTAGCCTGGGGCTTACAGCTTCCCACACCTCACCGCCATGCTCCCACGCCCCCTTCATTCTTTTGTTCAAAAGAAGAGCCACACCCTGTTGTTTGGCAGTCTGCTGCCCCGAGTAGAGGACTGTCCACCCTCATGGTGGCAGGAGCCAGAACCGGTCCACCGGACCTCCTGAATGCCACAGAGATCCAGGCGGTACCGGTCCAGCTCCCGACAGAGGAGTGGCAGCCTCTCCTCCGCAGTGAGCGTTTGAACATTCCACGTGGCCATCCGTAATGGCTTTTCATTGTTTCTGGAGGAGCCGCGAGGGTAGAGATTCAATCTCCTGGCTCCGCCAATTGGGGTTTGGCCAGGAGACGTCATAGACGCCTGTCCCCCCGGGGCCTCCGGCACAAGCTTATTAGTTACATTTTGTATTCGTAGTTTAGTGGTAATTAATTGAAGGTGGAGGGGTTACCAGCCCCTCGCACCCGTCCAGAGCCCCCGTTTAGCCACTGTGGTGGACACAGACGCCATGTGGGAGGAGCCAATCGGAATTGGACCTCCCCCCACAGCACTGTCCACGACAGAGTTGCCCGTCCGACACCATGCACACCATACACACCCTACACACCACACACACACGCATACACCATACACACCCTACACACACACACCACACATACACACCACACACACACACACACCACATACCTGATCATGTTATGGACGTTCTTGAGCAGCAGCTGCCCCTCCACCGCTACAATCTGCCCGCTCCCGTTGTTCAGCTCTATGAGCTTCTCCAGGCTCTCCAAGGCTCCTATGCTCTGTAACTGTTGGCAAAAACAACAACAATGTAATTTGTATCTTTTTATTTCAAGACGGTTAATGCTGCTGCCGTGGTGATAACGGTCATCACACTGCTCTTGCAATCCAGCAGTCGCCGATTCCATTGCTTTTGCCTTTGCACTGAAGATAAAGCGTGCTTTTTTTATTTGTTACAAAATATTATTTTTTGTTCCCATATTTATAATACCTATAATTATATTTATATTTAATTCTACATTTATTTTTAGCACCCATATTTTGATCACAGTGTAGTTTTGCATCCTTGTGCGTTAGTACTTAAGTGCTTGAAAGGGACGACGAATTTCAGTCACTGATGGAATCAAGGTAATTAGTACATCACAGGGATTGTGTACATGCACTGATCTGATTAATTAAGTGAACGCTAATAAGGATTGTATTACAATTAGCATTTTAAGCATCACAATAATTGATTCACATTAATTTCCTCAACTGCTTTTTCTCAAGGGTAGATTTAGATTTGAATTGCTCTGGCCAAAATAAATTAGGTGTAAATCCACAAGAATAGAAACGCTCACAATAATATTACATTTTCATGTAGCAGCGTCATTCATGGAACTGCACTCACACAACGCCGCGCGATCCGCAAACGTCGAGGTGCGTATAGATTAAGATGCTTCCAGCCAATTATTGAGTGTTTTTACAAATCTTCTCCTGGCAAGCCAGAGTATGGCACCTCGATGCCCACGGGAAGAAAGTTTGGCAACATTTGTGCGATACACCAACCCTCGCAACCTCCACAGTGCTCCATTACAGGCGCGCATAGCCTCCACCAGCTAACTTCAATTTCACTGGTTTCAAACAAAACAAAAAAACACCGATATAATAATGACAGTGTTAGAACTCTCAACTTGACAAACGTGCCACATTGTAACACGTATACACTGTACCTGAAGGTTAGCGGTGGCACAGTGGTTAGCTCACTGTGCTATACATCTATTTCCCAGCCACAACTAGCATCAGCGGCATGTGGTATGTGAAGTGGTCTTGGGCTTCCTTCCGACGCACCTGCTTATTTTGTAGGTCCCCTCATTTTGTTTCTACAGCGAGGCCCGCTACCTTGAAGAAGCCCACAGTTATTCTGTCCGGTCTGGGAACTTTCTTTATTTTTAATATTGCACAGGGCAGGTGCACTTTCCTGAACGTCATCGATCTCATCTTTAAAAAATTATCGTTCAATTGTGATAGTAGTGTGTTCTTGCTGGATAGGTCAGCATAATAATCCGTCACTACTTTTGTGACTCTTCACCTATCGTGTGTTCTGGTTAAATCTGGATTTGTTCGAGCTGCCATTTGCGTGTTCTCAATGACCAACGTAATTTTTTCTGCTTTCATGCTCCCATGATTTAGCATGGCATCTTCAACCACTCTAATGTTTTGTCCTCTTATTCTGTTCTTACTCTTTCCTCATGGTTATGCAGAGTTCTATATATTTAATATTTTGTTCGGTCAAATACTAACAACATCAAGCTAAGTGCAATACCCTGCAAATGATTTTCAATTTATTTGAAGCTTACGTAGGGACTGATGATTGATATCAATGTGGACCTGCGTTGCAGAATACTCATTCAAAGTCCCATGAGTGGAGGTGGAGCAAGAGAGTGCCAAATAAATTATTCATCCCGTGCCGTGCGGCCTAGAGCAAAGTCAGTGATAACATTGTGTGGATTAAAAAAAAAACAAGAAAGAACAAACTACTCCCGCTATTTCAATTTTACCAGGTAAGGCCCACTAAGATAAATAGCTTCTTTTCAGAAGCGACCTGGCCACGAATGATAGTTCAACATAGTGGCCTCTCATCAACATTGAAATGAATTTCAGCCAAATAACTCTGAGCGAGCGTCGACTCTAAATGCGGAGGGGAAAAAGCTGGAGGACCCGAACAACAACAATAACAACAACAACAACAAAATCAAAACGGCGAGTGACCTCATCGACGGTGGCCAGGCACATGACGTAGAGGCGCGCGGGGAAGGGGAAGGGCAGGGGAAAGCGGCCCTCGTCGTCCGTGCGGGCGCCCAGCGTGGCGAGAGAGTGCCGCAGGGTCCCGCGGCCCACGCCCAGGCACCCGTCCGTCACCACGATCACCTGGCGCAGGGCGAGGCGGGGGGGGCTTGTCGGGCCGGCACAATGATTGTGGCAGGCAATTTCATTTGGACCGGCACAATAGCGGCCCCCGATCGATTACTGAGCCCTGCCAGCTGGCCCTCAAGCCGTGGAGATGGACCGTTATCCCCGGGGACAGAAGAATGGCTTTGATTTCCTAAGGTAGAAGATAATGTGCGCCAATGACACCGCTATTCAATCCCCTTGTTTCACACATCAATCTGTCCCACCATTTGCGCCACTCTTTCAGGCTATTTAGGTCGGCGATTTTGTGATATCACCAAAAAGGCAGAAACGTGTTGGGTTCTTATTTATATTTATATAATTTGACAGTTGTGAATTTACACAATTTGTTTCTTAATAAAATGTAAATAGTCTATGACAATGTGCTGTTGTTGTGAGATAGATTTTTTGTTAAGTAAATATAATATATACCACACATTATTGAACTGAATATCGACAATAAATATCAAATTTAATTAATTTAATTATACTGTTTTTATTAAGTGTACCACATTACCATTGAATGATTCTCCTGAATGTAGAATGCAAGTTTTGGTTTTTAAACATGCAAACTGATTCATTGACTGGTTTACTACATTCATATTTTAATAAATATATCAGGGAAACATTTATGATTTTCTTTTCTGAGAAAGGAGTCAAAATTATGACCGAGAAGCAGCGTGAAACCAGTCATCATCTTGGTGAACAAGTGAAATGTCGTAATTCGGCGCAACGTTGAGATTTACGAGAGAATCAAATCTCTCTTAACAGTGGGCTGTGAACATCAGTGTAGTGAATTTCTACATGGCTGACATAAACCCGTTACATACAACACACACACACCTCAAACATCGATTCATAAATACGTACCTCGATGCACATACCCTGAACTTAAGAATGTATGCTCCTAAACAAGCTTCGTTCAATGCTGATCACTAAAAGTTCACTTTAAAGACTCTCATGGACAGCAGGGGGCTTTCTCTCTCATGCGTTTACAAAGTTGTACTGCATGTGTTTGACATTTCACTCAAATACTCCCAGCCGCGCGGAGCAAAATGTAGCGCAACATCCCAGGTGACATCACGCGGTGGAACCCGAGAAACACACCGGGCAGTCCTTGCAGCACAAGCACGAAATTCAACGCGAAAGTAGCGGCGGTTTCACCTCTCGGTGCACTGTACCTGGCAGGGGGTCCCAACTCCCCACTCCTCCAACACGACGCGGCTCAGTCCTGCCAAGGCCCCCTCTAGGCACGTCTTGTCACACTCCTCCAGGCTTGCCAGGCCCTCCTGTAACGCACAGCCGTATCGCCGCATCGCTTGATCACGCGCCTCGCCATTCACAGGGTGCCTCCCTTGTAGGCAGGATGGTATTGCATTGCCTCGCGTAGGTAGACTTTGCAGTAAGGATGAGCTTCGGATTTAGTAGTCACTGATGGAATCAAGGCCCATTTTCGGAGTTTATTTATAATTTTGCACGTGTTTTTATTTTAATTGTTATGAAAATTTTTTTAGATTTAAACGTCTCACATTTTATTCACCTTGTTTATATACTAGATGCAATCATTTTGTTAATTTTGAACTTAAGAATGCTGTTTTAATTTTTAACATTAAGTTCCAGCATTAGAACAATACTTTATAATCAAACTTTTTAGATTGGAATAATTAAGGCAAAAGGTGATCAGGTATTGTCAAATTGACGTCATGTGATGACACTTGTGGCAGCAAAAGCATTGAAGCTTTCCTGGATATTTTTTTTCATTATAATCTTTTTTTTATATATATATAAAGAGTGCTTATCACTTAAAAGAAAAGCTTCAAAATAATTACGAACTCCATGACTCTGAAGAATTAATCAAATAACTTTCTTTGAGCTCAGTTGTGCAATCAGCCCTTTTGGCATTACACGAAGGGCATACATACTAACGAGCTTATTTAGAATATAATAATGCATAAATCAACAACCATCACATCACCAGGAGCAATGCTACATGTAGAATTTATTAGGCATGAATTTGCACGGCAAAACACTTCTTAAAATAATTCAGGCAGAAATATGCCTCAACAGATCATAATTAAATAGACCTGATGCTAATTTGTTACGTAGTCTGTTTCATTTCACAAGGGAGTATTATGATAGGTTATTCCGCTTTTTTCTGGCAACAAAAGAGGTGTTAAGATATTCTTGGTTCTTTCGGTAAAGTCACGTAGAAGGGAAACAATAAAATAATAAAAATATAAAACAATTAAATTCTCACGACGTTTCGACTGCAACACAAGCAATCATCAATTTTTTTCAAATTTTCTTGCTGTGGTTTTCACACCTGATGATGATTGCTTGTGTTGCAGTCGAAACGTCGTGATAATTTTATTGTTTTATATTTTTATCATTTTCTTGTTTCCCTTCTACGTGACTTTACCGAAAGAACCAAGACTATGAATCCCTGCAGTCACGAAAGCTTTAAATCAAAGGTGTTAAGATGTTAAAACACCAAACTGAAACCTTTAACAAGGAATCATGTCTGCATTAGCTACAATACCTGTGGTCAAAATGCAAACAAAAAAAACATACTCTGATAATATATGCATTGTCTTTGAAACATATTGGCCCACACCAGAGACAGCTTTCTTTTGAGCCTCGTCTCAAACGGTGTTCGACCCGAGGACGCCAAAAGGCGTACAGATAAAAGGAGAAAAACCTATTATCATATTTTGGGACTGGCAAAGGAGGTCCCATGAAGGGAGTATTAATCATAGCAATAGGCTCAGAATCTAATTGTAATTACAGAACAGTACAGACAAAAACAAATGTTATCCCGGCTTCATAATAATCAGTGGAATTATATCCGTGGCTGGAAGAAGGCCTCACCACTTTGTGACCATCCCTCAGGATACTGTAATGCCACAGCACATGTCGCTGCCGTGCATGAGCCGATCTCATCGCTGCCGTGGTGATCCTCTTGGGGCATATTTTCAGCATTGACTGCATTTCTATCACCACGTCTTGTCGAGCTACTCTCATCATTTCTAGCGATGTGTCCTACCCAAGCACCCCTTACTTTCCTAAATCAGTCAATGAGATGTCTCAAATTAGCATTTGTTCTCTGATCCATGTGCTCCTCTTTCTGCCTCAGTGCGATTCCCAGCATGCATTTCTTCATACTTCCTTGCACATGTGTCATGTTGCCCATGGTTATGATCAATATGCCATGGCAGGTAATATCCACCTGTCGAACATTTTCTTTTGGTATGTTGCTCTTCATGATCAGATGTCATCTTCCAAAACACTCCACCCTGTTCTGGCTCAACTCATTAATGAATAATCTTCTCACATCCAGCTAGCCACCACTGCTGATCAACACTGAAACTGAAACTCTTGAGTTCTTGTGACCTGGTTAATCAAAAGAAGGTGTTGAAACCTATCAACTCGTATCTACGTAATAAAGGATGCGTTGAGCTATGAGAGCTCCAGGACAGGTTCAGATATCGAGCTCAAGTTTTCCAAGCAGAGTGTGCTGACGTAGCCAATACTTCCCACTCAGACAAAGATCCACTTTATAGCCTCAACAGACATTTGGGGCAAGTGCTTTTAGCGAGCACCTATAAAGGTCATTACGGTACACGAGGGGGTAGGTGGCCAGCACAACGCCAGACCACCTTTGTCTCGCCAGTTGCGATGCTTACACACCGTACTGGGTACAGTAGGCATTTGAGGCTGAGTCGACCTTAGGGAGGCCCAGGACCGGCTCAAATAACCGTCGCTCGTGTTGATTGTGAGCGGGACTCAAAACTCGGGCGCAGGGTTCGTAGCGCAGCGCGCGGACCGCTGCACTGCCGCTCCCCACTCCCAGGAAGAAGCACGTACATACAGCCGCATAGATGGACAGGTATGAACAAATATTAACAAAACACTGCAATTGCAAGCGTAATAAGGAAGGCAGACCCCCCCTTGTTATAGGGGCCAAATTGCTGCAGCAGTTGTTTCATCCAATCTCACACTGCCCTTGGTTGATACAATTGGACAAATTGCTTTCGTTCTTGCAGATAAAGAAAGGTTCAAAATATAATGAAAACCATTATGTAAAATACAACGGGATCTGAAAATGCAAGCGGACGTAAGGTGTTTGTGCTGAAGTAAATATCTGTTTCCTCATATACTGTGCACAGACTCACATACCCAATTGAACGAGACGAACATTGTTTATAATTACCCAAGAAACAATTGACACACAACACAAGGAAGTAACCACAATGATCTAAAACCCAAACAAGATTGCTACTGCACATGAACATGGGTCATTACGTGGATTTGCTGCAGAACCAATCAGGCTCAGGGAAAGATTTGGAAGGCCACATCAACCCAATTGTTCAGCTTATTTATCCCATAATGACCCAGTAATATATTTGAAAGACATCAGCAGGTATTTTAGGCAAGGATAACTTTAGGGCATTTTCACAACCTGCAACACCACGTTTTGGACGAACACAGAATAGCAACTACCATGACAACGCATCCATCTATTATACAATAGCTTCAACGATAAGTGGCAATGTTTAGTATTTTGTGGTGGCGAAAGAAATATGGAAGCCTGACCTCTAGCTCTAGTGTTTACTGTATTCGACGTGAAACATTGTAACGATTCAATTTCTTTTCTTTGATTGCGCTCAAGATACATGCATAAAAATACGCAACAATTAACTTTTTTCAATTCACATATTTTGGACGTAATGGGTTAAAGTTACGCCTGCTGCCACCATAAGGTCGCACTCATTACACACAAAGCGCATTGCACGAGTGAACCACAATTCCCTGCTGATCTCTTCAAGGTTCAGAAACCATCACGCGAACTCCAGTCATCCTCGCAGCGGCTTGCGGCTGGCCATCGAACAAAGACGGTCACTGCATCGCACACTTTCAGATGCACTTCTGCGGCCGTCTGGAATGCTCTTCCTTCCGATATTAGGAAACCGCTGGAGCTATGCCCTTTAAAATCTCGATTGAAAACTATTTTCTTTAGAACTGATTTTTGTGTTTGGTTTGTTGTCCTTTCCGCGCACCTCCGATTACCATGGTTGGCTACATACGGTGCGAAAGTATTTCAACTTACATACATACAGAGGCGCTATCATTCACAGGCACGTCATAATTAATAAACTCATGAGCTGAATCACGATACATATATCGAATCACAGGGGAGAGGTTGGGGAGGGCGGAATCATTCCTCGTAATACATGTCAAGTCTGAAGAATTACCCTTGAGTCTCAAAAGGATGGACGACATATTCGACTAATTTGGTCAACTGCACTAAGACAAAGACGAAATGAAATGCACAGACTAAGGGCCGGCTCAGCTCTGGCTTGGTTTGTAACGCAGCCCAGCTCAGACTTGAGCCGCTCAGTTGCTTCAAAAGATGCGCGAGTGGCTCAGCCATGGGTTGGCTCAGGCTTAGCTCTTGGAAATCCTGAGCTTGGCCGGGGACCATGCTCAGAGCCGGCTCAAGTTAATCGTGGATCTAAGCCGGCTGACTTGAGCCAGAACCAAGCGTGAGCCAAGCCATGAATAAGTATACGGACCGAAGGCTCGACAAACATTCTGCAGGTTACCATCGACGAGACTGAGACGATGACAAAAGTGGGAAAAAAATGTTTAAACTAAATTCACACAAATTCACTCCACAATCCGTAGATAATAAGCGGCTGGGCTGGAAAGAAGCATGCCTATTCGAAGGTGGCATTTCCCCCGTTGCATTCCACCTGTGACTAATCCTCCATGAACCCAGGAACAAGATGTGAAATGGATTATCGAGTGCAACTTCAGAGGACAGCTGTTCCCAATTTCATCTCCTGCCAGGAAATTACTTTCCCTGCTCCAGTTCAGCCGCTTATTATCTACGGATTGTGGAGTGAATTTGTGTGAATTTAGTTTAGATTTTTTTTCCCACTTTTGTCATGGTCTTAGTGTCGTCGATGGTAACCTGTAGAATTTTTGTCGAGCCTTCGGTCCGTATACTTATTCATGGCTTGGCTCACGCTTGGTTCTGGCTCAAGTCAGCCGGCTTAGACCCATCACATTGATGGGGCAGGGAAAGTGTCTCATTATGCTGCTGTACGCAGGCCATGACACATGAGGTCCTGATGATTTTTGGTTCTTGGAAGGGGACATTACCCTCCCCATTGGGTTTAAAACGATTGCACTCTGTGAACCGCACACAAAACTAATTGCAACGATCGCACTTGTGAGCTGGACGCCACGTTGTTGATTTTGGGGTGAAGGTAGACGTTATGGGGTTGGAGAAACAATGGAAACTGTAACCCATTTCGTATGGGTGGAGCAATTCACCACCTCCCCCTGGCGATTCAATTGTCATTATCCAGGGTCGCGATTCAATAAAAAAAAATACATTTTAGTTTTACATTGCGAACATAGAAAATTCTAGTGGCTGCAAGGGTCACGTGAGCGCAGCACATTAAATATATTACAAATTTAAAATATTTATTCTCAAAAACAGTATTTTATGCACCTCATGTGAGCTTAAGAATCAACGCATTATTACACCTAGGTAGCATATCAATGCATGAATTGATGCTAATCGTGCATTGATATGCTAATCTCTCACACTATAATAGCCACTTCCACAGCCTCAGGCAGACCATCTCTAGCCCCGCCCTCTTACCCTGAGGCTGCACCCATCTGAAGCCTACATAAGACCTTGTTTCAGTAGCGTTCTCTCTCTCTTTCACTTGAAGGCGGGCGCTTGTGTCGCGATCGGAACGTCGTGATGGATTATTTCTACCTACGTGACTTTACCGAAAGAAGCAAAGAGTAACTACAAGTCATTCAAATCATGACAACTTGACAATCTATAACACTTATATCACACATGCTGTCATTTACACAATGCATAATTACTATAATTGGACTACAAAAATTGATGGCCTTATGTTTTCCATGACATAATTTTTCAAGAAGAATACCCTTATGCAGAGCACTAATTTAATTTATAATAGCTATTTATTTACAACTTCGATCATTATTGGCGTTTTGTATTTGATAGTTATTTTGTTAGGAAATAGAATGTTTAAGAAAAATACGATGATTGTGGATCTTATATCGGCCACCAGAGTTATGCCTTACTGTTCATTGACCTAAAAACACCTTAAATTACAATCCTACTTCAACTTGAAATCTTGAAATCTAGAATTACAATCCTAGACATGGGACTTTCTTAAGAAACCTGACAGCTCCAGGTTTCCATGGGTACCAGTTAATATGCGTACAGAATCTCCCACTTTAATTCTCAATGCAAACAACTGGCACGCACAAATAGCTCTTTCAATGTGGGGACAACAGAGCTTTGAAAATAAAATGCTGAACTAAACAATACAAATAATTCTGAAGTGTTGTTGGGTAAATAATTTGGTATATGTTAGAGACAATAGTTCATGCCTTTTCAATACATTTTGTTTAATTCATTTTGTGGGAACCTCTCGATATTCTTATTCTAAATTTAAAAGCTTTCCTAGCCACAGCTATTAAAATATGTACCGTACGAAATAAAATTATGGAAACATCAACAAATTGCAGCAATGTAAACAACAATATTCAAACCTCTCTTGTACTTATACGGGAGGCGGTAACGCAGGTCATTAATCACAGCATGACACTTCCCAAATAAGCTTCCAGCAGGTGGAGCGAAACGTCGGACGCTGTGCCGAACGACATGTAGCGCAACCTCCGAACCAAATCGGAGAGCTCTACGGCACAGCCGCGAAAACCTGCACGGTAGCAGTGATGGAACCGTGTCGACTAAACTATTGGAAGTGGTGCGTCCCACCATCGTTGGTGATGGCTGTCTAGTGGCAATCGCCGTAGAGATGCCCCTAATGCACCGTGCCGTTCGGCCGCAGCAGTAGCAGCGGCGGCGGCGGCGGCAGGGCGGGTACGACGCACGCACTCAAACCTTCACCTGCAGGGCGTTGTAGTCGCGCGTGAAGGGCACCACCAGCTGCCAGCGGGACGAGAAGGCCAGCAGGGCCGTGAACTCGAGGCGGTAGAGGGCCTGCACGTGCTGGAAGAGGGCCGACAGGGCGGCGGTGGCCAGCTGCCTCCGTGTCGGCTCCTCGGCCCCCTCGGCCACCCCGGGCACCGGGCAGGCCATGGAGAGCGAGCAGTCGAGGAGGATGGCCGTGGGCATGGTGTCCCCCGCCACGCGACGGGCCCCCGCACGCCGGCGGTCAGCTCGCTCAGCTCAACGTGTGGTCGCGCCCAGCTGTGATGGGACGACAGTGGTGGTTAAAACAAATAAGACAGTCATTTCATGGCATGCCTGCTCTACATGTTGGTGTCCAACTGCAGCCCATCGGAAATCTGACCACACCATACTATAATGGAAAACAAAAATGTGGAGCCGGTGTAACATATACAGATTTTTTTTTCAATTACAGTCCTGACTGATTAACCGCCCACACCCAGTGCAGTATTTGTGCATAGTGTAAGTATCAACTTCTATAAATGCTCACAATTCCTATTTTTCCACGCACAATAACGTATTTTTAATGTCGCATGCATTTGCTAACTGGTAGAGTACACTAAGGCGTTTTCCAATGGTTAAAGAACTCTGCGCTCTATTTTTGTCCAGTGACCTATTTCTGCACGACGGTGTACCTGTCATTTCCTATAGCTGTTCACATATTTGACCTTTTCAGATATCCGCCCAATACCTCAGCCCTTCCAGTGAGTTGCATGTACGCCATTGTGGTGCGCACGTATTTTGAGTAGAAATGTATATGTTCTGAATTATTTTGTTCAACTGCAATTGCACAAAACATACACTAGATTCTAGCTTGTTTATTACTCCTCTTTGAACTATGAATTTGATGCTTCAGTAAACTTGTCAAACTTAATAAAAATAAGAAAAGGTTTGTATTGTTATTAATAAATCTCATTAGTTGCTGGAACCAGTCAGCCGAAGAGTCAATATTCTTTATGTGACATTAAACGAAGCTATTATTTTTTATCAACAAGTTATTATAGTGCAGTATATGTACAACGCACGGGCAACCACCATGCAACGTAAGGCCCATACACAAACAAAGGGCTGAATGTTGAATCAGCCTGTGTCCTTTCTATTAATCAACCAATTTGTATTTGTGCATAATATGAATCATATACATGCTATATCACATATACATATATGTCTCTGATGTATTTATCGGTTGCACCCTTATGGCGTTCGATTTCTACAATCGAGTGAAAAAGTGAAGCTGTTCAGTTGAGTTTCTGAGGACGCTCCCAGCGTGTGGAGCAAGCGAAACGTCGGACATCGCCCCGAACACATGCGGTACAACCGGCTAACATCGGAGAGGGGGACGGCACAACCACGAAAACCTACGCCAGGGGTCAATTCAACAAATTATCCTCGTTTATATGCAGTTGCTTTTACAGATATGCGTGGCAATATGTTCTGACAAGAGGGATTGATGTCAGATAATGTGGCATCGCAGGCTTGGGGGAGCATCGCAGTGAGTGTCAATCGGCAGGTGATGTATGCCAACTCCATATCCGTGCAGTGTGCCTCTCGGCCGATTCGCATCCCCGTCGGAAAGCAGAGAAATTGGCCACTAGGCAAAAAAGGAAAATCCACGAAAGCAAAAAAAAAACCTGACAATAATTTTCACCAGGAGCTCAATGGCTTCCCGTGGCGTGAGAGATTATGTAAAAGGAAAAAAATTGATTAACATGGGACAATCTGTCATTTCCACGAACAAAACGTGTTCCGGACGAGCCTGCAAAGAGCTTAAACAAAGGGGATCACCCTGTGGCCTCGCCGCAACCTGCCCACAGAATTGCGTAATGTGCTCGCATGTCGAACAATCACGTTAAGCCTTCACCGGGGCAGATGAAGAGAGTTAGAACCAGAGATGGAAATTAAAGGGCGCGTGTGTTTCTGCAATCGTGCCTTAATTCCCTCTCATCGTCAGGGATTTACAACCCTTGCCAATCACACCGACGATCGGCTCAAATTAAAATACTGGAACTGGCCAAGGAGACCTGCATGTGGTTTAAGCAGAAGCTAGATAGTACAACTTTACAGAAACAATTTTAATTACAGCCAAAGCCTCATTCACTGTCAAAACTAAGAGAAAATATGCTCATAACCTGATTTTGTTCACCATTACTACAGTGTGCATGTGTAGAAATATAACATTATAGATGTATAGCAGGATGTTCGTAACCTTGTACATATTGAAATTACATGTTACGTGTGATAAACAATAGACCTGCAAAAAATCGCTCCCACCTCGTAATTCGATAATTTGTACCAAATTCGGGGTCACAATTCGATTCAAGAATCAATTCTGGTTTTACCACTGTGGTACAATGTAGCACCTGTCGTAGCTGTAGGCATTGCATGCACTAGTTAGATAACGATATATATGAATGGTTAATAATAATTATTTATTCCTACAGGTTACCATCGAGCATTAGATTTTATTTGAAGTAATTGATCAATGCTTTTCTACATCTCTAGCAATCAATGTATTGTTATATACAATACATATATTAGAGTTATGTTAAGCTTGAATTACTTACAACCTTGACGTGCTTTGGTGGCATGCATACAGCTTTTTTAGACAATAAACGGTGAATTGCTTGTATATAGCGGTTATCCTTTAACTGTATTTTTGGGGTCTTTCGGTAAAGTCACGTAGATAGGTTCAAAGAAAATAACCAAAGACATTTTCTTTGAACCTATCCACGTGACTTTACCAAAAGACCCAAAGAATTCCTACAGTCATGGAAGCTTGAAATCAAGACGTATCCTTTAACTGTTTACATTAATGCGAATGGATGTTGCCAGTACAACATATTCCATATTTACATCCATGTCTCTGCAATGAACATGTTCTAGAATAATAGGAATTGGGGAGAAAAGTTGGATTTTGGGATGTGCACCCTTGCAACATTAATGTTCCTTTACATGCTGATCCATGCCGCACTCTGATTGGCTGAAATGAGGTCACGCGGCATTAGTCGGGCTGCAGAGGGCAACTCTTCAGAAATGAAACACGGTGGCCAATTTTTGTACGAGAGGTATGCCAGTAGGTGGCAATGTTGCAAGAAAGTTGTATCCCAATTAGTGTGTTAAATATAATAACTACAGTACTTCCAGGAGGCTGTTTCTAGGTCTCGCTTGTACTTTAGATAAATGCTAATATGAAGATAATAGCACCGCTTCTGGGTCACCCCTCTTAACCGTGAACAACTCTGGATAATGGGAAACATCCATTGAAGGATTACACGATATTTTTTTCAGATCAATTCAAACTGGCCAAAGATAATGGGAAAAACTCAAGAGCAAGGACAAAAAGCAACAACAGCAATACAAGCAACAATGCCAGCAATAACAATAATGCAAAACAGCAACATTATCGACAACAAGGCATAAATCGAAGTGTCCCTCTGCTTGGAGTAGTGCACATTCCCAACGGGTTCCCAAGTCATTGATGTCAATTCCACGTTCGTATGCCGGGTGTTTGTGCATTCACGGAATCAGAATCTTTATTTAGACTGGAGGAATCCGATGAGCTATGAGGCTCTATTTCACAGATGTCCAGTAGGGGGCAAGTCGGAAAGTTACAACAGCAATACAAAAACCGATTGGAGTGCAAAGTATAGAAAAGATAAGGGGCCTTCCATAAATGACGTCACGCACCTAGGAGGGGGGGGGGCGGTCAGACATTTGTGACGATGTGTGACGAGGGGGGAAGGGGTTTGAGAAATGTGACGTCACATCAACATGCGCAACTTTAAATAAATATAGACTTTTGATTTAAAGCTTTCGTGACTGCAGGGATTCGTATTCTTGGTTCTTTTGGTAAAGGCACGTAGAAGGGAAACAATAAAAGAATAAAAATATAAAACCACAGCAAGAAATGTTTTCCACATTTGATTGCTGTGGTTTTCACACCTGATGATGATTGCTTGTTTTGCAGTCGAAACGTCGTGAGAATTTTTAAAAAAGATTTTTATTATTTTATTGTTTCCCTTCTACGTGACTTTACCGAAAGAACCAATAATATAATTACATAATTGTTATAACACAAATTTTTATTTCATTATTAACTATTTGATTTTTTTAAATTTACTAAGGTCACCTTTTATTTATTCCATGAAGGAGCATTTTGCTTCTCCATGGGAGAATGGCGAAGCATACATTTTTAACATGTTTTTAATGATGTTATTAAACATTTTAATTCTGATTCTACCAGGGCTTTTCATTCTGTGGAATGAATATGTGATTGTTATAATTGTACTCTCCATTTTGCTTCGTTCTACTAAAACGTTTAAAGTATTTTTTATAGTTATAATTACTTTTAATATTTCATAATTATAAGATAATTTAAATATAATATTCTGAACATCTGCAGTTTAGTTAGACGTTGAACATTTTCAAGTGAATTTTATGCTAAATGTAAGCTTTCCTACGCCTCGTTTTTAATGTTTTCTCCTACAACATCAGAGTGCAGCGGCACATTAAATACGCACTATAATGACAATAGTTTAAAGCAATTTGAAGCATGTTTTATTTTCAAAATGGAAATGTGTTTTTTCTTTGGGGGGGGGCAGAGTTTTGTGACGTCATATTTGAGGGGGGGTCTGACTTTTCGTGACGTCGTGTGACGAGGGGGGGGGGTCAAAAATCATCCAAAATCGCGTGACGTCATTTATGGACGGCCCCTAAAGCACGTCACGATAAACATGTGCAGTGCAAAAATATACAAATAAATAAATAACCAATGTTGACTGCCTATAACGTTTTGAAAGTAACAGCACTAAAAGAATGATAATTAATGAGAGATAACAACAGGTACCGGACATCAGAATAGCACTCATGGACGGCAGCGAGGTAAATAGGTACCACATACTGTCGTAGCAAACTCAAAAGCACCTACAAAAACGTGATAATAATAATACAATAATATAATAAAAGCAACATCAACAGCAGCAGAAAGCAGAGAGAGCATGAACAATGAACAATTACAAGCAACAACAATGATGGTATCCAACATTAAACAGTGCATACGTAATATCAACAAAAATCTCAGCGGGCAATGTATCCTTCAAATATCTGTCTCCTCGCGCAACAACAACAACTTTAACTTAGCTATTTCAATGCTAAATTCTATGCTAATTCCTTTGTCAAGGGGTGCCTCTGCGGATGTGTATGCTTTAACTTTAACATAGCCATTTCTGTGACCAGTCACAAGCTAATCACTCAGTCATTTCAATGCTAATTATATGCTAATTCCTTTGTCAAGGCGCTTTGTTTCTTCTCACACAGCTTAAAGGTCGCGATCTAAGCGTGGCTTTTTCACTCCAGCGCTGTCCTCCAGACAGTCTCGTCCCTTCACCTGATGAAGGCCGCTTGTGTTGTGGCCGAAACGTCGTGATTTTTGTTATTTTTTACCTACGTGACTTTACCCAATAGAACCAAAGAGTAACAACAATGTCCTCAACCCATCAGCCCCCACGGCCTTCTGGAAGCCCATCACTTCAGCAGCACTGATTCAACAACTGCACGCGAGCTCTGAAACCGGTTTCGACACGCAGTGTCTCATCAGCAGACTCAGGTTTGCTCCAATCGATGCTGGCGAGCTGCCAGAAGATGATGTTGTTACTTGGGCAAAGGGCCATCTCTTTAAGGTATGAGTTGGACGCAACATTAAGCACGCTAGACGACACAATGTAAACATGAGCGTCGTCGTGGCGAATGTAAGTAAGGCAACAGGTACGCGCACAATGTGTCCTCATCGATTTTGTTCCTTTAGATTCTCGCATGACGATATCGATTAGGGTATTTTGTTTTGGGCACCCGATATTAGCAAATCTGTCCGCAACATTCATCTCGGGCAGTGCTCACGTCTAATACTGTCGCATTTCCATTGGGCGCCTCACTGGCCGTGGGTGAGGAAAGTCCACGTTCCCACGACGGGAGCTTGCAAACCCACTGCAGACTTCTCAAGACACAACGGTGCCGCAGGTGATACGGCAAACAACAATAGCGGACTGCAAAATTAACCGTAAGCAATGGGGGTCATTTACAACAACAACATAATCGAGAACATTCACAGCCGTATGCAACATCAATGTTTACAACTTTAACAGTAAGGACGGAGCAAAGTCAATAACAGCAGCCCCAATAAGTAGGAGGACCACTTTGTCAAACACAAAAGACCGCAACAACAACAAGGCTTATTCTATGGTTCTCTCGGTAAAGTCACGTAGATAGAAAATAAAATAAGATTTTATATTATTTTTTCTAAAAATGATATTTAATATTATTATATTTCATATTACTTTTTATTATTTTTCTTTTATTTTCTACTAGCTTTACTACCCGGCTTCGCCCGAGACTTCGATTCCTCTTGGATTAATACACGGCCTACGCGGAGGGTGGGAGGGGTGCGTGACGTCAGCAGGCACACTGTGTGACGCTCCCGCATGCGGGTGACGTCACAGCAGTCACAGATGTGACGTCACCGCTCACTTGCCGTGCAAAATATATCCATTATTGCGCCCCCCCCCACAAAATACAAATTCTATTTTTATACTTTCTGCATGGTGTACAGTCTGGAAACTACCCACACGCCAAATTTCAAGTTTGTTGCATGTCGGAAAGTATGCTAAACATTTTGAATAGACACACTTTCACAAATTTCCCTTTTATATATGGGGCCGTCCATAAATGACGTCACGCGATTTTGAACGATTTTTGACCCCCCCACCCCCTCGTTACATGGCGTCACAAAAAGTCAGACCCCGCCCCCTCAAATATGACGTCACAAAGCTCTGCCCCCCCCCTCCCCCCCAAAAATAAAACATGCTTCAAATCGCTTTAAACTATTGTCATTGTAGTGCGTATTTAATGTGGCGCTGCACTCTGATGTTGCAGGAGAAAACATTTATTAAAAAGAATATTTAATAAAGTAGAACGTGTTGTCTATATTTATTTAAAGTTGCCCATTTTGATGTGACGTCACATTTCTCAAACCCCCCCCCCCTCGTCACACATCGTCACAAATGTCTGACCCCCCCCCCCCCCAGGTGCGTGACGTCATTTACGGACGGCCTCTATAGAATATCCATTATTGCGCCCCCCCCCCCCAAAAAAAAAATATATTAAAGTCTATTTTAATAATGTTTGCATTGTGTACAGTCTGGAAACTACCCACATGGCAAGTTTCAAGTGTGTTGCATGTCGGGAAGTATGCTAAACATTTCGAACAGACACACACACACATTCACAAATTTCCCTTTTTATATAGAAAGATCTACTACGTGACTTTACCGCAAGAACCAAAGAATATGAATTCCTGCAGTCACGAAAGTTTTAAGTCAAAAGAACAAGGCGGACAAGCAAGATCGACGTCAATCATCCAGAACAAACCTGTAACGGTACCGCACGTATGAGGACATCGCGTGACCATTGCCACTGAGGGTTCCAAGTCGCATGTGGAAACTGTACATTCCCGTGGCGGGAGCTTGGACATCCATACCACGTGCCACTGTTGACCGACCACGATTTGTTTTCGCACTTTAGCGGCTGCAACAGCGCGGACATCTGAGCGAACAAATAACGGCCACACATCAGCAAAAAAAATTGCCCTCCGCTATTAATCTATCTCGGTAACATGGACAACAGCAACCACAGCGCCTCGGTCCGACAGCCGACCCGAAGAATAGCATCAATATGTGCTCCGATGTAAACGATAACAACACCGGCCCGCGGCATCGTGCAAACAACAACATTAGCATCACCATCATCAATGCACGGGGAGCGAGCGGTCCTAATCGCACGATCGGCAGTCGTCAGCAGCGGCAGCAGCAGCAGCAGCCTGCAGCGACATCCACACCAACAGGCATCAACGCACACGAGCCTGGCACAGCGGGCAACAACAACAACAGCAGCAGCAGCAGATCAGCTGTCAGTCACGCAGGGCTGTGGACCGCTGAGCTCGCAACCCGCCCACTCACTTTTTGTCACCGGCTCGAGGTCAGCAGCGGACCCAGCATGGCACCAGCAGCAGCTGGTCGAGGTGGGAGGGGGGTGGTGGTGGTGGTGCGATTCGGCGGGGAAGCACGCAGCGTGGCCGGGCTGCCTGGCTCCGCGTGCCCCGGAAGAGCTCGGCGAGTCGGGGCTCGACAGCGCCGCTCCACGAGCACCACCCCCCCCCCCCCCCCCCCCCCCCCCCCGTGGCTCTCTCTCTTATTGTTTGGTCAATGGCACAAATGAACGAATGGATTTTGCATGCGTTGTGTTTGCGTGAGCGCAAGGCGGAATGAATGCAAGGACGAATGAATGGGCAGCCTGGTTGGTTGAATGAATGCGAGGGCGAATGCATGCCAGGATGAATGAATGCAAGGATGCATTAATGAACGTCATAATTGAATGGAAGAATGTCAGGAGCAATGCAATTATGGATGTGTTGATGAATTGAATGAATGCAAGGATGAATGCATGTCAGGACGAATGAATTTAAGGGTGCATTCATAAACGTCATAATTTAATGAAGGCATGTAGGGATGAATGCGATGAAGGATGAATGAAATATATTGCTTCATTGAATGAATGCAAGGATGAATACATGCATGCCGAGTATGAATGAATACAAGGATGCATTAATGAACGTCATAATTGAATGAAAGAATGTCAGGAGCAATGCAATTATGGATGTGTTGATGAATTGAATGAATGCAAGGATGAATGCATGCCAGGACGAATGAATGTAAGGGTGCATTCATGAACGTCATAATTTAATGAAGGCATGTAGGGATGAATGCGATGAAGGATGCATGAAATATATTGATTAATTGAATGAATGCAAGGATGAATACATGCATGCCGAGTATGAATGAATACAAGGATGCATTAATGAACGTCATAATTGAATGACAGCAAATAAGGAAGAATGCAACGATGGGTGAATTGACATGAGTGAATAAATGCGAGGATGTGAATGATTGAATGCATACAATTGTAAATCATTGAAATAATTTCAGATGAATGAATTATATGATTGAATGAACGCAATTCTGAATGCGTGTAAGGAAGAATGAATGCACATGATTGAATGCAAAGATGAATGAATGCAAAATTATTTGCCATAGTTTTTATCGAACAAAAAGTTAATTCAAAACAACAAACCAACTTTATATGAGAGTGCTAATTGAAAGGGCATATTATAGTCGTTTTTGGTGCAATAAATAGTTGTCATAATAGTTCAAATGTATGCAGTATTTATAAAATGCAAGTTTTCAATTAATATTTTTACGTACACATTGACTCTATCTTTCACGACTCATCAAATATGATATATAGTTTTTATTATTTGAAATGTTTACCTCTACCCAGGGCTAAATGCATCACTGAATATTGTTTCGGTCACTGATAAGAAGACTTCAGTTGGCCAAGGAACAGGACCGCCATAGCACGCGACTGGTAGTCACGGCCAATAGATAAACTTGATTAAGGGACCGTCCATAAATGACGTCACGCACTTAGGGGGGGGGGGGGGGTCAGACATTTGTGACGATGTGTGACGAGGGGGGAGGGTTTGAGAAATATGACGTCACATCAAATTGCGCAACTTTAAATAAACATAGACAACACGTTCTACTTAATTAAATAGACTTTTTCATAAATGATTTCTCCTACAACATCAGAGTGCAGCGCCACATTAAATACGCACTACAAATGTCAATAGTTTAAAGAGATTTGAAGCATGTTTTATTTTTTGGGGGGGGGGGGCAGAGCTTTGTGACGTCATATTTAAGGGGGGGGGTCTGACTTTTTGTGACGCCGTGTGACGAGGGGGGGGGGTCAAAAATCGTCCAAAATCGCGTGACATAATTTATGGACGGCCCCTAAGCGCTGCGGTGGCGAGAAGTTAACTACATCGCCCGGTATTCAGGAGGGTCGTGGGTTCGATCCTTATCCTGACGCCTGTATATTTGGATTTTCGGTGTCTCTCTCCTCGTGGTCGCGTGGATTTTTCTCCGGGTCCTCCAGATTGTCGAGACATGCGTTTAGAGTATTTGGCTGCTATTCATTTACACCTGATAAACCACTTCGTTGAGCTATCATTTGTGGCCAGATCGCTTCTTCAAAAGAGCTATATAGCTCAGTGGGCCTTACCTGGTAAAATAAAAATAGGTTAAAGTTTAATTTTAGTTTAGATGTCGCGTGACCGATGCCGAAATATTTCCCGGGTCACAAACTCAGAAAGCCTTCGGCTGAAATTCAGCCCTACCTGTAACAATGCAGATAAATGTAATCCGTAGCTTATCCACCTGGGAGCGCTCGACACTACAGGCAAATATATCTGAAATTGGCACATCTTTACCGTGATCAATGACGGTATAATAATAATTGTGGGACAGGGATTTAATCAGAGGCAAAGTACAGGGTGGTCCAGATGCATTGTGACCCCCAATACATCTTGGGGTCACGAGAGGTTTGATACGAGTTTGTATGTATGTTAAACTTATTTCGCACCGTACATGTCCAACCGTGCTATACTATTGAAGAACGGCTTGTCCTGAGCGTATGGGCCCCACGAAAGATCACACAACGGTAAAAAAAACTATGAAAGATGCTCGACAGGATTTTTGTGAATGAATTAACAAAGAGGCTCCAGCAAAATGTACAATACTGAGATGGGAACACGAGCTCCTTTTCCACAGGATACATTTTGAACACACACAAAAAAAAGGAACTGGGAGACCTTATACGCGAGAGGAGCAGTGCTCAGGGGTTTGTTCGAGATCAATTCAATTTGGGGCACAAGACATCTGGACCACCCTGTAGAGTGGGCGTTTTATTTCATTGCGCCTGAATGTGAGACTTCTATCAGGGTGCTTTCATACAACGTGGAAACTGAATACAGTAAATGCGTTCCCTGAAAACCATCTCAGGGATTGATTTTTGGTATGTTTGCTTCCGTCAAATAGTTGCTCAGAAATTGTCGAAGATGCTCCTTGTGTCAGGATGCAACACGCACGGCCGCGCGTGTTGCATCGCACCAGCTAACTCGCGTGCGTTCAGCGACAAGTGCTCGCTCGCTTGCGCACGATGCGCTGCAGAGCACTGACTCGCGTGCCGCTGGAAAAGGCGCCTCCTGTTATTTGTGGAAATATTGCCAAAATCGGCCGAGAAATGGTGGCGATTGAGCCATTGTGGCAATTTATACACCGAGTACTGGACGAAGCTGCCTTTCTACCAACACGTGATTCAAGCGATTTATCTTCAGGTGGGACATCACTTCCAATGGAGTAGTAAACTGTGAGTCGATGTTCATCAACCCACTTGTGTTTTGAGATGGGACATCGTCGAGACATCTATATTACTTTGGATCGTGGTATGCGTAACGTGCAGACGCATGAGTACACCAGTACACTAAGCACTGCGTTGTTTAGTTTATGGGAGAAATATTCATAAGTATGTCCAGGTGTGAACGCTGATCTATATACTGTACATGTACATTATTTCGACCTCTCACGTCGCAATGTAGGTCACTCCCTTTTTCTCTGTCACTTGCGCCACATAGCGTGACCCTCTTGCTATCCATGCTACCGATTTAATTATTGAAAATTAATTTTGGATTTTTTTCTTTTTTCTTAAAGCATTTTACGTTAACTTGTAACTATGTACACCTCACGTCCTTGCTATTCAATACAGAATTACCTTGTCATGACTAAATGAACGAAAGATGACTTTCTGTCCTGCAGCTATATTAAATCACGCCAAGAAGGCAGCCAGCGCATTAAGTAATATTCTTAATTAACGTCAAATCATTGTACGCGTGGGGAGGGGGGTTCCAATTGCAGTTCTGCATCAGGGCCGAGAAGGAAAAGTGGCACCTACGATGAGCACGGTTTGACTATGTACGGTGCGAAAGAAGTTTAAAGTGCGTACATACACAATGAGTAGCGCACTGCGCGACAAACCCCCAGTGATCTTAGTTTGATTCCTGGCCACGGCTTACATCGGTGACGAGCTATATCTGTGAACGGTGAAGTATATATTCATGCAATTCACGTGGGTGACATCATGGGGAGGCACTCATCCAGCAGTTGATTGACAGATATCTTAATCACCTGCCTCGATGATACAGTTTAAAATACCAAATATTACATAAGTATAATTTATTGTGAATATATATGTGTAAATAGAGATACCCTTGCTCTGCAACGGAAAATAAGAGACGGCTGCCGTTGTCATACTCGGAGCGATAAAAGCAATCCGCTTTTCGCTTGGAAATTTGTATTAATATTCTCTAGGATTTCAACGAATATTCTGGCGAAAAGAATCACATTCGTAGGAGTACACATTGGAACGTTAGGGCAATTTAAACGAACGATGTCAGTCTTCTGTATTCGTTACCGCTACGTGTTCGGTGTCGGCCCGCAGCAGCCACTAACAATCGAATTATTGATGTGGTGGCGTGGAGCCCAGTCAAGTAGCCAGCCAGGAAACTCGACGCATAGATAATTTTTAATAGTAGTACAGGGACTCCTCTACTTATGAACGAGTTCGGTACCGTAGGTCTGTTCGTAAGTCGATGTGTTCGTAAGTCCAACGTTGCACCTAGTCGATTCCAACACATGTTGTACGGTATGTACACTAAACACAGGGAATGGCTTTAAAAGTTGTATAATCTCCTGTAGATGTAGATGCCACTGGTTTTTCATGTTCTGCAGATGTAGATGCCACCACCGCCATCTACTGCGCGGCAGTTGAACTCTCAGTCTGAACAGGCAACTGGCCATACGGAGAGGTTTGTTCGTATCTCTGAAAGTTCGTAAGTCAAGTGTTCGTAAGTAGAGGAGTCCATGTATTATAATTGTACTTATATATACGCCCTTTAAGATAAAGAGTCTTGGAAAGATGGCCTACGTGACAACGTAAAGTACAAGACAAAGACAATTGCGGTAATAATGCACGAAATTATAACATTTTAAGAAAATAGCTTGAACAAGGCGTCGAAACAAGATGTCAACACAGCAAACAAAACAATACAATCCAAAGTAAATTTCGATTTAAAGCTTTCGTGACTGCAAGGATTCATCTTCTTTGGCTCTTTCGGTAAAGTCACGTAGAATGGGAATAAAATAATAGAATAAAATAACACAATAAAATTATCACGACGTTTCGGCAACAA